AATGTTCCTTTAGCATATCCCATATTAGAAGATTTTTTATAATATACGAATGCCTTATGTTCATCCTTTTCAACACCAATTCCATTTTCATAAAAGACACCAACACCATATGTTCCTTCAGCATGTCCTATATCAGCTGCCTTTTGATAATAAATGAACGCCTTATTTTCATCTTTTTCAACACCAATTCCAAGACGATAACAATAACCAACGCTAAGTGTTCCATCGTCATCACCCATATCAGCCGCTTTTTGATAATAAACAAATGACATTTGTTCATTTTTTTCAACACCAATTCCACTTTGATAACAATAACCCACATAATATAATCCGACAGCATTACCCATATCAGCGGATTTTTTATACCAGATGAACGCTTTATTATCATCTTTTTCGATACCCATTCCATTTTTATTACAATGGCCAAGAGAAAGCATTCCATTAGCATGACCCATTTCGGCTGATTTTTTATGATAAAAAAAAGCTTTGCTTTCATCCTTTTCAACACCTATCCCTTCTCTATAGCAATAGCCAAGTTTATTTATTCCATAAGAATAATCCAAATCAGCTGCTATTTGATAATAAAAGAGTGCTTTATGTTCATCTTTATAAATGCCAATTCCATTTTCGTATAATTCACCAAGATCAGTTATTCCGTAAACATTACCCATATCAGCCGATTTTTGGTAATAAATGAACGATTTATGTTCATCCTTTTCAACCCATTTTCCATAACGATAACAGCGAGCAAGAATGGTTAGAATTATGGAATTTGTTTGACTCTTTAAACATAAATTAATTAAATCTTCTGACTTTAAATTATTTTTTGTCATATATTTTTCTATCGAATTAAGAAATTCTGGATCATAATTTCCTTTTAATACCTCTTCTTCGTGCAATTGGCATAAATTATCTATAATTGTTGACTCATTAACGTCGTCTTGGGTCTGGTGGTCATGAGTTTCGCTTTTTGTTAACTGTTCTGCAAGTGAATCATCGTAAATAATTTGCAAACTTTCATTTGTCATTATTACTAAAAAAAAAAAGTGTTATATCGATATTTAGTGAATATATGGTTATTTTTTGCAGTTTAAATGTTTATTCTTCAGTTTGTACGTAAGTTAAAATTACCGTTACGTATTTTTAATTGAAAACCCGATTACGTAATAATTTACACAAAATGGAAGAACTTTATTGATAGTACGTACGTATGAGGTCTAGCGCTATTTTACTCAATCACAAATATTGGCCAAGTTCAATCACCGTTATTGTCTCTATAATTTTTTAATTTTAATTTTAATTGATAATTTGTTTTTTATATGATCTTCGAACGATCGTTTTAATGCACGAACAATGTAAGTAATAAATGATGCACTGACCAATTAAACAATATTCTAGATTACCCCTTAGTCGGTTTTATAATACTACGTACGCATTTTTTGCGATATAATTTAATCATGTAACTGGATAGTGCGAGAAGGTCCACCAAAAAAAGTTTCATACTATGTGCCCCTGTTTCGAAACTTTTCATTGTGTATTAGCATTAGTGATTGGATCATCTGAATTATTAACCAGAAGATGGAGCTATTTTTGTTAATTATGTCAAAAATCAATACAAATCAATCCATCATTTCCTTCACAAATTAATAATAAGTCATTTGGCATTGATAAAGAGATTGGCCATTCTCCATCAACAGAAAGATATAAATATATTTTTAGCGATTTTTTAAAAGCATAATTAACTAAAAACAAATTTGGGAAAAGAAATTTAGACTTAAAACCCAGTGTATTCAGTAATTGTTTCATAAGTTTACCTAAGACCTCTATTATAATCTCTTAAAAAAAAGATTAACTATACATGGTAAACTTTTATGCTGCTAATTAAAAACTTAAATTCTGAAGTTTATTGTATTTATTGATTAATCAATTTACCTTGAAATGGGAATATTTCGAATTCTGCTTATTCACATACAAATCCATTATCCTGACTAAAATTATTACCGTTGCCAAGTTCATCGCTATCTTCACTATATTACCACCTGCTAATTGATTTAGCGGATTATAACCACCAAAAATTTCATTAGTTCATTAACCTTCATTGCCATATAATAGACTTGCTTGCTATCAAATATTTTCAAAATAGTTTTCTAGCAAAAACTATTTCTAGTTTAGCGAAAGAGTGATTTAAATTCATATGGGATATTTATTATTGAATATGATCCAGTTTTTGTCAACTCATGTTGCTGCATGTGCTTCATCAATAACTGTCGGAATGATTTCCAACCGATCAAAGTTATACAAGGTGGAAGAATTGTTAATGAAATTCGTTCATTTGGATTTACTGCACATGATCAGTAACATCATATCCAGATATTTGAAAATAGCGGATAAGAGGTAAATAGCTTCTTAATGTAGCTTTTAAGGTTAGAAAGAAGTCTTCATCAGTCCAGTTTACAGGACAACTAACCGGTAAGCATGGTTTTGTTCGATTCCCAATTTTTACTTCCATTTGTAAATCATCTTATTTAATAGGAGAAACTAAACCGTTTTTTTGAAGTCTTTAGATCAAAATCTTATTTGGATATTTTACCAAAAATCATTGCGCCATTTGTAAATTTTGAACTTGATATTCTTAAAGCTTTTTTGATAAATACGCGTAAAATGCAAACGAAGCCGGTTAACTTTTACTCCAATTAAATAAATAAGTGTGAATTCGAAAAATAAATAATGCTTGTTTTTTTTTTTAATAATATTTCTCCTCATATATAATTCCTTGATATATATCTGGATATTATTAAAAATATATAGTAATTTAATTGTTGAATAGAAACATGTTTTATATTAATTTTATTGGCATAATTTTATCTTAATAGTGATATTATATATTATTTGTATTTTGATAGTGCTATTATGAAAATATGGGTTCAGAATACCTTTATTGGTGATTCACTGCATTAACTATTACATTAAATCTTCATTATTAATATGTTCAAGGCAATCTGCTGAAGTTTTTTTTGTCAATTTTATTTTAAAATGTTTGGTACAAGTGACTCTCGATATAAGAAATACTAATTAAACTCTCAATATAAGAAGGCAAGCTAAAACCAGTCTATAATAGATCCACTCGATATAAGTTAATAAGCTCTCGAAATAAGAAGACTGTAAAATTTCTACTATAGATCTGACCACCCTTACATCGAGATTCACTTGTAATGTACACAACTAAACTTCTGGCTTTTTATATTAAAAAATGGTTATACTACACAATATTCATTTAGCATAGTTGTACGATGATGATTATAAGAACTGAACCATTCTCGGGCTTTTATATTGCGAAGTTATTATTTAGAATTTTAAAATTTATAAAATAAATAATTTATTTAGTATTAACCAGAGGCGAAATTTATGAATTATTATTATTATATGACCTATAAAAAATTTACCACAAATTTTAAAGCTAAAATTAAACTTTAAGGTTTAAGTTAAATTGAGATTAGGGTTTTTAGAGCCGAACATTTTACAAGGTATACCAAATACCGATTATCAAAGCAGTTTTTGAGAAGCAACATACTCGTATTGTCTCGAAATAACTCCCAGGGTGTAGTTTTAAAACTTGGCCCAAATTAATCTTTCGGGCCAAAATTTTAAACTACAGCCCGGGACGTTATTTCGAGACATTGCGGTACCCGGTGAATTTCATCTCTAGTGAGCGTTAAAATCACCTATAAATAAATCAGATCTTTTTATATAATATAAATTTTATTATACAATTATTATTTTTTTTGTAGATATAATATAATCTTAAACAATCGCTGATAGTAACTTTTGATCTATTGGTTTTATATTATTTAAATATTTATAATTTTAAATATCAAAAATATTAACATCTCAGGATCTCGCGATTGGATTTTAATGATTTTGGCTCGTTGGAATCGGTTTATTGAGCTAATCATTTTTGGTAGTAAAATTATCCAAAACAGACCAGTGGATCAAAAGTTACTTAAAGATTTTTATAAAGATTTTAAAATACACAGATCTTCACTTAGTATTAACTATTAACATATATTTTACAATAAATACTTTGCTAAAATATTATCAAATCAATTGAAGTATTTGTCAAGAGACTATTTTATATTTGTTTTTTTAACGATTATTTTGTAGGCATATTTGCCTTCATAACGAAGGGATAGTTTTTACTTCTTACTATATTTAAAATGACTTCTATTTTATGCAACAACTGTTTAGATACTTCTGTATTTACTATTGTTTCGAGCAATTATCTCATCTATTTTATTTTTGACTAATAAAATTTTATAATTCAGATCCTATTTATTTATAGTATTATATTGCATTTTAACATATTTCTAAATTGTGATAATTAAAATGTAATTATACAGTATTATAGTTATTACTTTTGATGCAATCAAAATCTTATTCTTATTTTGTGATATTTAGTCTAGTCTCTAGATAACCAACGGGTTAATATCCAAAATTTAATGTGACGAAAGTTAAATTCTAATGCTTTAGAAAAATTGGTAAAACAAAGAATGATGTTTTTATAATTTGTGATATAACTACTTTCAACACCAAATTCGTAATATTCTGTAGGCATTAAAATCATTCTAAATTTGTAACCAATATATCTATTTATTTATGATATTTAGAAGGAACAAAAGGCATTTTTACAACTTTAGCATCCTGTAATTTATTCCTAACTTTAACTTTAAGCAAAGTCCCACTCTTGTGAAATCCAGATTTGACGTATGCCATTGCAATATTTTTATTCAACGTAGGTGACGGTCCACCGCTTGTTAATTTGCCTAATTTTTACAGTATAAAAAAATATCAATCTATTAAATTTAGGAAATTTATAATTAATTACAATAAATTACAGAAAAGCATACCAATTAATTCATCAGAAGAATTATAAATTTCTGAATTTTCTATATAAAGGGAAAGTAAAAAATTGAATTTAAAATGTAAAATAAAATAATAAGAACTTAGATAATGGTACCTCTTGCAGGTGCACCCTCAACAATTAGACCAACACGACGGCGCGTGACACCATCTTTAAGTTGAGCAAGAATTCGATCTGCACCTAAAAAGCCACCTTCTACTCTACGACGTTTTCCTGTTAAAATTTTTTTAAGTCAAACAAATGCTAGAAAGAAATATATACATCATAACTATAAAAATACCGATAGTCCACGCTAATCCTGCTTCTACTGGCGTTGTTGAATCGTCAAGATCATGCCCATATAAACATAAACCAGCTTCGAGACGTAAACTGTCGCGTGCGCCAAGTCCAGCTAAATGCACACTTGGATAACCCAATATTAACTTTGCTAGCCGTTGAGAACTTAACTCAGGAACGGAAATCTATATTATTTCAAAATCATAAAAGTTCAAATTAATATTAGAGTCAGATTCAAATAACACAATCTCGTAACAAAATTATTGTTGCTAAAAAAAATAGGCATTCAATTTTCTTCATTTGCGCAAAGGTTTTGCAATTTCAAAATGAAATTTTCTAAAAAACCGTTCATTAACGTACTTTGCTACATTTTCTTTCCACAAATAGTACAAAATACCAAGTGATTTAGCCATTTTGACATTAACTACAATGTTTCGAACTATGTGTAAAACTTACTTCAAAGCCATCTTCGCCAGTGTATCCAGAACGTGACACGTGGCTTTCAATAGTTTTGATATGAAGAAAACGAGAAGTCATGAACTTAAAATCTGATAAATCTTTATCACACAATTTTTGAAGGATTTCAGCAGCCAGAGGACCTTTAACGTAGCATATTGTAGAGATTATTAAATATAATACATAGATATATTTATTCACATTATTGTGGTACCTTGTAAAGCCAGCAGAGCACGGTCATCAATAACTTTTAAATCAACCAATCCGCCTTTTTTTTGAAATTCACCCATTTTAGTACGTATATGATTTAAATCCTTATCTGCACAGGCAGCATTAGATACGATATAAAGATGGTCGGCGTGTTTACAAATAACTGTATCGTCAATAATTCCACCATTCTCATTAGTGAATACGGATAAAACCGAGGCACCAAATGGCATCTCCTCTATATCGGCAACAACCAAGCTTTCGAGAAAACGTATGCGATCTTTTCCGAGGATTCTACACATATCAAAAAATTTGACATAGTATTAATAATAAAAATTAGAATGAAGAAAATCGCAAGTTAGATGAAACATTTCCGACCTAAACTGAAGCATATGCGAAACATCAAATAAAGATGCATATTCACGCGTGTGTAAGTGCTCCGATAGAATACCTTGATTTGCATAATGTACTGGCATAGACCAGCCAGCAAAAGGAACCTTTGAACAATAAAAAAAAATTAGTATAATCAAGAATTCGACATAAGTAATAATTATGATGATTATAATATAACTAACCATTTTACCACCTTTTTCAATATGAAGTTTATATAATGGCGTCTGCTTCAACTGAGCAGTAGATCAAACAAATGCGCGTAGAATCAGTGAACTTAAAATAAGATTATTAATTGTCTATAGTTGCTATATAAGCTTGATCT